CGTGCGCCTAAAGACCCTGCTCCGCAACAAGAGAAGCCACTGCAATGAGAGGCCTGTGCACCACAACGAAGAGTAGCCCCCGCTCGCCGCAACTAGAGAAAGCCCGTGCGCAGCAATGAAGAGACAAAGCAGCCAAAGATAAATAAATAAAAATAAAAAAGTGAGATTGCCAACTGCAGGGAAAAGAAAAGACTGGGCAGGAAAAATGATCATGTGATCCTGCATGGAACAACAGTTTTATCATCACAGCCAGAGGTGAATCTAATCCCAACCACCAGGAAGCCATACTGGGGCAACGGGAGCTCAGGTGTGTGGTGGGGGAGGGGCATGCAAATGAGCCAAGCCCCCCTTTTCCATCATCACAAATGTTATGGACTGAGTATTTGCTGTCCCACCAAAACTCCTATGTTGAAGCCCTAACTCCCAATGTGATGGCACCCGGACGTGGGGCCTTTGGGAGGTAATTAGGTTTAGATGAGGTCATGGGGGTAGAGCCCCCATCAGGAGATCACCGCCCTTGTGATTAGGAGACAACACCAGAGCATCCTCTGTCTGCTGTGTGAAGACAGCGAGAAGATGACGGTCTGCAAGCCAGGGAGCAGGTCCTCGCTGGGAATCAACTCTGCCACCACCCTGGTCTCGGACTTCCAGCCGCCTGGCTGTGACTAATGAATGTCCGTGGTATTCTGTTATCATAGCCTGAGTGGATTAAGTCAACAGACAATGCTTAAAGCTAAAAGCCTTCCAGAAGTAGCCACTTGGTTTAGCGATGATGAGAGCCAGAGGGTGCTGCTGGGAGGTGGGAAACAGCACAGGGGTGGAAGAATGACCCCTAATTTTTAATGCAAGCTCCGCAGCACTATTTGATTCTTTATGTGCAGGCAGGGTTTTGCTGAGTGACCTAATCTAACCTAGAAACAAGAATAAGCGACAGGAGGGAAACCCTGGCTCTCCCCAGATTGGAGATTACAAATATAGATCTTATTTCTTACATGCCTTTGTGTTCACTGAAATTTCTAAGAGAGGCATTTGTTACTGTTATCATTTAAAAGGTGATTTTATTTTTATTATTTTTTTAAAGTTTCTTTTTTTGATCTTTAAAATTTTCTTAATTTTTTCCTTTTTTCTATTTCTTTAATATTGGAGTATAGCTGATTTACAACATTGTGTAAAAGGTGATTTTCAAGTGTCTGGGATTGCCGGGGCTGGGTGGGTCCAGGGGCTTACCTACTCTTCTCTCTCCCTGGTGTGTGTCTAAAAACGTGTATCCCTAGTACACAGCTGAAAAATAAAGTCACCACTTAACTGACGGGAAGATTAGCGATCTGCTTCTTCATGTACTTATTGCTGTGTCTCCTGAGCTTCCTCACACGTGATTCTGTGTACTCCTGCACAGAAGGCACGTCCTTCACTCTCTGCCCTCTTGGGAAGCCTGATTTTCTATAGATTCAGGGGTGACGGGGCAGGTGATGTCGCCACATCATCTGGAGGAGCTGGAGCTCAGCATCAAGGGCCACAGCCGCCGAGTGGTGGCGAGATCCCCATCTCTGAAGGCCTGTCCCAGGCCCAGGCGAGCACGACGGAGAGGCGGCCAGACCCCACTCATGCTCACAGCGGAGCAGGCAGCAGGCGGCCGGAGCTGGGGAGAGATGGCCGTGGGCACACGTCTGCTTGGTGCCACAAGGCGGCAGCGTGTCGATCATGATTTTAGCAGCGGACACCCCGGTGGGCACCCAGGGATGGCATCTGGGCCGTGGCTGGAAAGCTGACCGGGAACGCGCCGGTGGAGGTGAGAGGAAGGGCAGCCCAGGTGGAGGGGACAGCACAGGTAAAAGGCCTGGTGGAGCAGGGCACGTCCAAAAATGGAGACAAAGTTCCAGGAACCTGGAGAAGAGGGTGTGGCACGTCGGAGACGGGGAACGGTGGGGCAGCTGGCGGACAGGGAGTCCTGTGCCCAGCAAAGAGGGTGACTTTCTGAACCTCAGCCTGGGATGACACCAGAGGCTGATGGGACCAAGGTCACAACACACACGGGCGCCTCCGTTACCCGCTGCTGCATCACAAACGTTCCCACGTGCCGTGGTGAAAGCGACAGTTCCTTAGTTCTCGTGATTCTGGGCTGTCAGGGTGGGTCTGCTGCGGGTCTCACGTGGGCTCAGCACTGGGGTCAGTTCGGGGCCTTCTGCATGTGGTCACCCTGGTGGTCTCAGGGCTCCGAGAGGGCACCTGAAAGCACAGGCCTCACACCAAGCCTCCCCGTGGGGGCGGGAACACGGGTGCAGACCCGGGGGGTGTCCTTCCTTGGCTGCTGTTTCTGTGACAATCAACCACAGGCTTTACGAGGGACTGGACTCGGCTGTGAAGGAACTGATGACTGACATGGGAGCTCCGCTGCCCGTGGGCCTGCCTGGCCGTGAGGACACAGGCGAGGACGCAGGGCCCGGCTCAGGGGACATGTCTGGGGCTGCGGGCGCCACACGTGGGGTCCGGACTGGTTGGGTGAGGGAGCGAGGATGACAGGGAACTGGGAGGGTGAGGGACTGGGGGTCCTAGAGACCACAAAGAGCTGGGCTGGGGCCACCGGGGGAACCTGTGTGAGGACCTCTGAAGGGGGAGTGGCCCCTCACGACAACCCTGGAATAGGGGCCACAGAGGGGCCTGGAAGCCCTGAGGCTTGCTGCTGAGGGGGGCTCAGGTCACCCCACAATGGGCAGAAAGACCCTTCACAACCTCCCTGTGGCTGTTTTTGTAATTAAAAAAGGTTGCTGCCCTTTAAGTGGGAAGAGGTTCACGGATGGGCTGAAGTCCAGGCAGCCCCAAGGGAAGGGTGGGCCTTGCACCTCCCACCCTCGGCTGCCATTCCAGCCAACCTCGGATAGCTCTGGAAGCATCCCCTGCCCCCCGCCCCCGCTGTGTGCACACAGGGAACATTCCCGTCCCGCTGGTCTCCCATCCTCCCTGATATCTTGGAGACTGTCCCGTTTCAGCCACAAAGATGCCCCCCTCATTGTTTCCTAGGCTCCAGAGAATTCCACGGAACAAACAAACACGTGGTACTCAGTCAGTCTCTGGCTTCTGTAGCTACAAACAAGGCCACAGTGCATGCCCCCCACACATGGGGTGGACTCCACGAGAGATCATTCTTGGGAACCACCCGAGGCATGAGAGGGACAAGCCCGGGGCCAGCTGGAGAGCTGGGTGAGCATCACCAGGTGGCTGAACCCTTCTTCCCACCGCAGCTCTCAGGGCCGACGCTGCTAACTGATCAGGGCTTCTTCTCCCCAGCACACGGGCAGCCACCACTGCAGGGGACGCACGAGCTGCGCCGCAGACTCTGCTGATGGACGCTGACAGGACCCCTTCGAACATATTTACCTGATTGGAGAATCTGTGAATCAGGTGTGTGGGTTTCAAAAAACCCCAAACGTTACTCCCATGGTGTCCCTGGGAGGGGCTGGCCCCCGCCTCGTGGTCCTACCTGTGTCTGACACACGTGTTCAACTTCCAAAGACTCTAAGGACGCGAAAAGACACATTAAAGTGGACACAACTGCAAACACATGTCCACCTTCCTCAAGCGACTTGGGGCCACCTCCTGTCTCAGTCACCACCACTCCGCCCCCGTGAGCGCAGCTCCCTCTGCCTCTTCACACGACCCTGGACTCCAGGTGGTTTCCTGTGGTTTAGAATCTCCTCCCCTTCAGAATCCACTCATCACTTCCAGTCAAGGGTCCAATCAAAAGGCTGAGACCGTCACTTGCAAGGTCACGTGCCTTCCTGTGCCAGGTGATCAGGTCTAACCACAAGCGCAGCGACGACGACGATGACGACGACGACGTCATCTTCCTTAAAACAAGGAACCTGAGGCCCAGCAGGGGCTGGGCTGTGCACTGTTACAGCTGAATGAGAGTCTGAACCCAGGAAACCACACCCGCCCCCAGCTCCACGGGACTCCACCCTCACCCCATCCCAGGGCCCACTGCCCATCCTCCACCCCTGCAACAAAAAGAACCCCGAGCAGCCCCGGTGCAATCGCCCATCTGCTCGGGACCGGGACCACGTTTCAGGAGCCTTCGCGGCACAAACATCTAGCACCTTCTCCCTGGAGCCTTTTGACTCCTGTCACGTTCACGCGGCAGGGTGCACAGTCGTGGTGCCCGCCACAGATCAGGAGGTCCAGGCTGGCCCGACTCTGCCCAGGTCCTGCGACTTGGGCACGTCAGCACCAGGCCCCCCTCACTCCGGGGGTGGGACTCCCGGGGATCGCAGGTGACTCCCAGCACAGAGGCCGGTGCCCAGGCCCTGACCACTGGCCCAGGGAACAGGCTAGGGGCAGAGGGCCGGGCAGTGGGGACACCTCGAGTGAGTGTCACAGGGCCCCTGACTGTGGCTCCTCCCTCCGCCTCCAGACTCTGGAAGACAGATACAGCCCTGGAAGAGGCAGGCGACTGCTTTAGGAAGGGATGGGTGGACGTTACCCAGGTGCTTCCATCGTCCACCAGAGGGCACCCAGGGCAACACCTGCGTTGGAGCAGCGCCTGCAGGAGGGCTCTGTGCCCAGTTTCACTGGGCAGAGGGGACAGAGGCCTGGCGGTGGCTGTTCCCTCCCGGAGAATACACTTCCCCACCCACAGGGACTGCACTCAGAGCCTCCATGGGGCAGGTTCAAGTGTGCTCAGGGGCAGCACCCTGGCCCGGGTCCCATCCCCGCCCCTTCCCAGAGCTGGCCCCAAGGACCAGAGTGAAGGGACACCATCACTGCCATCCCCGGAGACCCTTCCCAGGTTCTGCTCACTGGGGAGAAAGCGCTTTCGGAAATGATTAATTAGCCAAGTTCGTGGGAGTCTCAGAGTCCCCAGGCCATCCTCAACTGTGAAGGCAGCTCTAATATTTTAAATGGTCAATTTACCTCCCTTACAAATTAGCCTACACATTCTTTTTTTTTTTTTTTTTAATATTTATTTGGTCGCTCCGGGTCTTAGTTGCAGCATGCATGCGGGGTCTAGTTCCCTGACCAGGGCTCGAAGCCGGGCCCCCTGCACTGGGAGCGAGGAGTCTTAACCACTGCGCCACCAGGGAAGCCCCTGTCCCACATTCTATAAGAGAAGTTTCAGGTCTGAGAGAGCACAGGGCATCCCCCTGCAACCCAGACGGCCATCCCTTACCCCTGTGCGCCCACCCCTGCCCCTGGGCACAGAGGACACGGGGACCAGGCCGCCGCTCTGTTGGTCTCACTGTCCCGTGCCAGACCCATACCAGCTGCCCACCTGTCCCACAGCTCCCGTGGGGCCTGTCTCCCCCGTACGAGGTGCTGGGGGTACAGAGGCACAAGCCACCATTCCCGCTCTCCAGCCAAGGAAACAAATTAAGGAAACCAATACAAACAGTAATGATAAAACTTACGTTTATTAAGCAACTACTATGTGCTACGCGGCAACAAAGCCCTCACACAGCAGCCGCGGCCCGCTGCCGGGGGCCCCTCCAACGTGCCCCAGCCCAGCTGTGCGGCCCACCCCCACCGGTGGCATCTGGAGCACGGCCTCTGGTCCCAAACCAGGGAGAGCAGCGCAGGGCAGGTTCCGGCCTGCAGGCCAGCTGGCCGGCTACAGGGCCACTGGAGTTTGCTGAGACACGGTTCACCTCCACCTCAGGACCTCTGGCAAAGTCACGTCCCCTGTGGTTCTCACCTGCGTCGCACCTGCACTAATGCTGCGCTTGGTCGCCACAAGCAGAACCACCTGAGCACGCAGCCCAGGCGCCCCAGATCAGGCTCTCCCAGCCCCGCCGCTTTTGGCGCCTGTACCTGCTCCCTGCAGACCAAAGGCAGGACCACCCAAGACTTCCTCAGTCTTTGAGACCCTTCCTACCCCTGCTCCTTGGTTCTCCTTGTCTGGTACACCCCTCCCCCATGCATCCTCTTTTACGAGTTGAACTGTGTCCCTCAAAATGATACGTTCAAGTCCTAACTCCCAGTGTCTGTGATCAGGGCCTTATTTGGAAATAGGGTCTTTGCAAACGTAATCAACTTACATTTGAGGTCACACGGATTCGGGTGGGCCCTAAATCTTGTGACTGGTGTCCTTATGAGAAAAGGGAAATTGGACACAGAGACACACACAGGAAGAGGGGCCACACGAAGATGGAGGCAGAGGTGGGGGTGACGCGTCTGCGAGACGAGGAGCTCCAAGGGCTGCCAGCAAACCCCAGAAGCTCAGAGGAAAGCCTGGAACAGATCCTCCCTCGGAACCCCAGGAAGGAACCAACCCTGCCAACACCGTGACTTCGGACTTCTGCCCACTGGAACTGTAAGAAAATTAATTTCTGCTGTTTTAAACTACCCCGTTTGTGGTAATCTGTTATGGCAGCCACAGGAAGCGAACACAACTGCCTATCCCAAACACTTGCACTAATGGAACCAGTGTCACAGATGCTCCAGCATGTACCAGACACTGACTATGCCGGACACTGTGCCAACCTGGGAAGACAACAAGAACAGGTCAGCGACACGAAAACCTGGGAGCCCAAGGGATGTGTCAAAGTGCTATACTCACCACATGACTCTCAAGGGGGCATGAGGAAGGGACATTTCAGTGGGGCCTTGAAGGCAGAGTAGGAGTTTGCCGCGCAGGCTCCTATCCAAACATACTCTAACGACAAGAGTATACTTCTTGCTCTCTGACTACCTTGCACGTTTCCAAGGAACCCCTGGCTTTTCTCCATGCTCTGAGCATGAGCACGTGCTGTGGACACAGAGTGCAGAACACGGACCTCTCATGCCCTCTCAGGACACCAGTAAAAGAGCCCCGGGTATGTATATTTACGGACAAAACAGCAAGGTGAGTACACAGACTGCGAGCCCTACCAGGTCAAATCAGGTGACAGCCTAAGGTGAAGACCCATCTCCAAAGGTCAGCAGGCAGATTTTCTGCCCCGGGATGCAGTCTTTCTGATCTGAGGTTTGGAAGCAGTGCTCCAACACACACTTTTGCCTGGAGACTTCGGGGAGCTTTAATAGGGGGTGGGTGCAAAGTGCAAATAACTGGATGAATGTTGACGCCAAGGCACCTTCAGGAACAGTGACTACACTCATCCCACTTAAGCTCCATAAAGCCAGGGTCCGCAGAGGCCCTTGGGCTGCCAGCATGTGCATCTGAGCCACAACGCTTGACTCCGCCCAGCCCATTGTCCCACCCAGAAGTCACCGTCGGGGCAGAGCCGCCGTCTGGGCTCTACCTTAGCAGTGGGCACTGGGCCCCCCTATACCTGTCCCCTGATTGATAAAATGTGGATGACAATAACCACCACGAGAAAGTAAATGAACTAAGACCTGCAAAGCCCTCAGAATAAGGCCTGGTATACAGTAAGCACCCCATAAATGTTGACTAAACAAATAAAAATACCCCACTTTTAAACCTGTATTTCTCCTGCTCCTCAAGTCATCTCTTTCCTATTTAGCGTTTACTGAGGCTTCTCATTTGTCAAAACCAGTCACAGCAAAAGTAGTCTCAAAATAGCCAAGAGGCTGAGGACAAGTCCCCCAGGTCCTGTCACGTCATCAAGGAAGAAGGGCTATGACCATCAAGGTGAGTCCCTTGGGGAAAAAGGAGGCTCATGGAAACCAAGGGATACTGCCAAGGGCCCCAGATTAGAAAAGAAAACAACGTAGCTACCAAAGACACTGAGAAAATTCAAACGGGAACGACTAACACCCCCTTTCTTCTGAGCTTATCTTCTAAACACAAACAGCAGGAAAATTTAAATCTCAATTTCAAAACTTAAGGCTTTGTTAAAGGTGCCCCCAAGCCCAGGAGAAGGTTATCTCTAGAAAACCACGAGGCCAAACTTACAGAACGCGGGCAAGGCTGTAAAGCGAATCTGTAAAGTTTCTGTTAGGTGAGAAGGTTGGCCAGGTGTCACGCTGAAAAACAATTTGACACTCGAATAAGGGCGGCGAAGCTTGGCCAGCAGGTCAGCCCCGAGGTGTCGCGCGCTCCTTAAAGGGTTGCGGGGCTGCTGGAACGTCGTCCCACACTCTGGATGCGCACCTTTGTGCCTCGGACTGCCAACACCTAAGGCGGCGGGCGTGGCCGGGTCCCCGTCGCCCCATGCGCCCCGTGGCGCCTCCACCAGTCAAGCCGCGCGCAGGGACCGGGGACGCCCACCTCGCAGAGCCACGGCTTCCACCAGCCAGGCGGGTCCCCTCAGCGCGCCGAGCGGCCAGCGGACACCACCCCGCGGGCACCCGGTCCCGCCGCCTTGCGCCCCTGCCCGCAGACCCTGGTCCCGAAAGCGGCGGGTCCCCACTGTGCCTGGCGCGGCCCGGGGTCGTTCACGGCTTAGCTCCGCCGACACCACCCCGCAGGCCGCCCCGCGCCCCCGCCCAGGCTGGCGCACGCCGGCCGCGAAGCGCGCGCCGGGCCACGGCGGGGTCGCGGCGGTCGGCTGCGCCCCGGCTTTGTTCGAGCCCCGCGCCCGCCGGCTGCCCTCGACCCGGCCCGGCACCCGCCCGCACCCCGCGGCCCCGCAGCCCCGGCCCGCGGTCCCCAGCCCACCTTCTGGATGGTTTGCTGCGTGACCTCCCCTTTGCCTCTCGGCCGGGCGGACGCGAAGGCCACCGACATGGTCGTGGGTGCGGGATCAGCCCGAGATCATCGGGGTTTATTCTCCGGCTGCTCTCGGCGGCCAGAGGCGCTCATTCTCCGCAGTCGCTGGGGGGCGGGGGGCGTGGGGGGCGCCGCGCCGTGGGCTCGCCCGCCCCTGCGCCGCCGCGTTGCCCTCGGGCCCGCCGCGCCGCCGCCCCGCCCACCGCCTCAGCCCGAGGACGAGCCCCACACGGCGCCCCCGGGCGGCCGCTCTGCGCCCCGCTCCCGGCCCGCCGCCACCCCGCCGCCCCCCGCTTCCGGCCGCCAGTGGTTCCGCCCGGCCCCGCCCCGGCGCGCGCGCACGTCCGCCCGACGCCGCCCGACGCCGCCTGACGCCTGCGGACACCGCCTTACGCTGGCAGCGCAGTCCCCGGCGCTGGGGGCGGGCGCGCGGGGTGGGCGCAGCGGCGTCGTGAATCGCGGCCTGCGCGGCCGTGAGTGTGCGCTTTTCCCGGTCCTGATAGCGTCTCCCCGCCGGCATGAGCTACGACCGCGCCATCACCGTCTTCTCGCCCGACGGCCACCTCTTCCAAGTGGAGTACGCGCAGGAGGCCGTGAAGAAGGGCTCGACCGCGGTGAGCAGGGAGGCCGGGCGCCGGGCAGGCGGAGGCCCGGGCGGCTGGGTGGGGCCCGGGCGCGTCTTGCCGACCAGCTTCCCTGGGGTCCGCGCTGACGGGCGCGCGGTGGTGCGGGGTTTGGGGCGGCACGATGGTGTGGGGCGCACTCGGAAGCCGCGACGTGGGCGTCGCTGCGGGAAAGGGGCGCTGCGAGCCGCGGGCGGGAGACGTGAGGACAGGCGGGGCGGCTCTCTGGGCGCCGGCTTCCGCGTCCGGGCGAGCGGGGCGGCTAGTGGCTCGGCAGGCGCTCTGCAGGCCGCTGGCTTCGGTGCCCCGCGTCCGTGTCCGGAGCCGTGCGCGCGCCTGGCGCCGACGCCATCTTGGCGGGGGCCCTCGCGTGGACCTGGGGGGCTGGGGGCCGGGCGGGGCCGGGGCGCGCGACTCCGAGAGGCAGGGCCCGCCCGTTGCCCGCTCAGGAACGCTCCTTAAGGGAGTAAGTGACTCCGCGAACTGTGTCTGGACAGCTCCCAGGTAGCCAACTACCCCCCAACCCCCGCGGAAAGCAGTTGCTCTCAAAGTCCGGGTCGGCCTCGAGAACAAAGAGCGGCCGGTGTCGGCATCAACCCTGCGGTTCCCGGGCCGCCGGCGCGGCGGGCAGGCTCCGTCTTGGGTCCAACTGCTGAGTCCTCCGTCCCTTTGGTCACTGCGCCAGACCCCTGTCCCGTCGCACCCGAGCGCGCCTCTCATTTAGACCAATGC